CCCCACAAGCACTGCCTCCCTGTGGCCCTGCAGTCCAAGCTTACCCAGGACACCCTGGGCACAACCCTGGCCTAGCATGCAGCAGGTGCTCAATGCATGCAGGCAAACCACAACGGGGCTGGCGAAGGAAGCCACTATTTCACCCTTACGCTGTCCCCAGGAAGCAACCGGTAGGTAGCCTCTGTCCTCAGACTGTCTCACCCCACACTATAGGACAGACCATCAGATCCAGATTCAAAAGTCCCCCCTGTCTCCTCTGAGAGCAGGGCCACCCAGCAGAAGTCTCGAGCAATCCTCAGTGGCATGAAATTTCTTAGTAGTCATATTAGGGAAAGTGAACTAAAAGATGCACTTAGCGTGGGTAGCATTTATTTAGCCAATGAATCAAAACGTTATTCCTCTGACAGCCCACTTTTGGAGTATGAGCTCCCGAGTCTGCTTTTCTTATGTTATGACTCAAGCCCACGTGCACACATCTGGCGTCAATGCTCCCTGCCAGCCGACTACCCCAGCCACCAGAGATGTCAGGCAGCCCTTGTCCTTCCTGGGACAATGCTGTCCCTCCCTGGGGCCTGTAAGCCAAGCAGGTCAGTAGGGCACACACCTGGCAGCCTTCCTCTCTCCCCTGAGGGCCCCTGCCTCTCAGATGTGTCAGTTTGCCCCTCGGACTGCCCAACACCTGAGGCCGCTGTACATGGCTCAGGCTTCCAATGGGCACTGTGACACTCTCCCATGCACAGCTCACCCACAAAGCAAACAGGAGCAGCGACAGGTGCCCCACAGCTCCAGGCCGCTCATGTGAGTCGGGATTAGGGTGGCCCTATGCCTGGTCATGTCTGAGACCGGCACATGATGGGCGGGACTCCTCATTCCCTGGCAGCAGGTGTGGAGTTGGGGCCCATGGCACAGCCACAGCTGGGGCCAGCTAGTGGGTCCTGGGAGCTCCGGGCTGGGAGGGGCTGGGACAGTGACTAGAGGCAGCAGGGTGCAGAGGGACGACCTGCTCAGAACCTTCTGCACCTTCCAGGCCTTCCACACGATCCACAGCACTCCAGCCCTGCCCCCATCCTGGTCGCAAGTTGCTTCCTCTTGCCCCTGCTGCCCTCAAAGCTCCTGCAGTTCCAGGGCAAAACTCAGCTTCCTGGTCCCTTCTTGGCCATGCTGTCCCTGCATCTGGTCCCCCCCAGGTGGCTTGGGTCCCTCCCTCCAGGAAGTCCCTGCTGAGGGTTCTGATTTGATTATGCTGCCTGTTAGGAACGCTCTACCTTGCCCAAGGCCCCCAAATTTCTTATAGACTCCTCTAGAATATAAGTGTCCCCCACCCTCATACCTCCCTTCCATCCTCTTCCCATCCAGAGCAGAACAAGTCTACCCGAGGGACACTTTTATCCCTAAACTCATTCCCCGTCAACAGGAGAGACAGTCAGGTTGGGCCCTGGGCCACCAGCTTCCCTGACTCCATCATGAAATAGCCGTGGGCTGGGCTCAGGTGTCTAGACGGGGAGACTGCCAGGTGTTTAGGGAGACCATGCTGGCAGAGTGACGCCTAGCGTGGGCCTTGAACCCTTGAGGGAACAGAGTGAGTGACACCTGCGGGGCTCCAGGGTGAGGTCAGGGCAGGGTATCATGAGAAATTTCTGTCTATGAGACAGTGCTGAGTGCCCCGTTACTGGAGGCATACAAGTTATACAAGAGTGGGTAGAACTTTGCACAAGGGTTGGTTAGCCCTTTTAAGGGGTCTGCTTTCAAGCACTCAAGATTTAGGCCTGGCCCAAGGTCACAAGCAAGAAGTGAAGTAGGCTGATCACCGTCCAGACTATTCCCGCCAATCATTAATTGGCCCTGTGTGAGTGGCTGTCCCACGAGTGCTCCGGCTGCCTGCCAGCTTGTGACCTGGCTCTTATGCGTGCCCAGGCACCAGCATACCTCTGATGTGCTCACTGTGTGGCCACTGCTGCCCAAGACTCTGCAACTCCCCCAGCTGTGTCTGGAGGGGAAGGTGCACTCCCAGATCACGGTGAAGTCCTGGTGCAGCCCTGTGTAGCCTGTGTAGCCTGTGACCAGCCACCCTGCCTGAGGGCTGGGCCTAAAGCAGCGAGGACCCACAGGAGGCTGCAGGGAAGGCAGTGACATCCAAGCTGGGTTTCAGAAAGCCTGTCCAGGTGCTGGTGGCTCATGCCTGTAATCCTAGCTACTCAGAAGGTAAAGATCAGGAGGATCATGGTTTGAAGCCAGCAAATAGTTTGTGAGACCCTATCTTGAAAATATCCAACACAAAAAAACAGGACTGGCAGGGTGACTCAAGCGAGCCCCAGAGTTCAAACCCCAGTACTGCCAAAACAAAACAAAACAGAAAGCCCATCCACCCATGGGCAGGGGGCAAGGAAGGCCAGGATGTAGCACTGAGCTGGCCCAGGCCTGGGGATGTCAGAAGGACAAAGCACAGGGATGTGAAGAAGAACCAGGGAAGGGGGGCGGGGTGGTGAGGAAGGCTGCTGGGTGCGGTGGGAAATCAGTTGTGCGTAAGTAGAGGGAAGGGACCTGGCCTCTGAATAGCCACATGGCTGGGGTTCTGGTTTCCAGAAAGGATGGAGGAGAGCAAGGGTGAGGTATAAGAACGGGGCTATTCAGACTTCAGGCTAAGAAGATAGCTATCGTGGGGCAAAAGGGAGCTATTGCAGTTTGTGAAGGAAGTAAATAACATGGCATGGCTTCTGTTTTAACCCAGTAACTGGGGCTGGGGCAGGGGAAGGCAGCAACAGTTGCCAGGGAGGACCAGATTAGCAGGCTAGCGGTAGCATGGGGCATAGTAGGAGGGTGGGCAATGGGAATGCCAGGTTTCTCTGCAGTGGAGGGCCAGGTAGGCACAGGGAAGAAGGGTGCGGGAGTTCCATGGATCAGTGGGACTTGGAACAGTAGGTGACAATGAGCCCCAGCCATTAGGGCAGAGTGGAGAAAGGGGCTGGGTGCACCTGAAGGTACAACATGCCTCGGCCAGGCCAGGGCAAGAAGGAGCAGCCAGAGAGACTGGAGGAAGCCCAGACTGGTGAGCCAGATCCAGAAGCCAAGAAAGGGTGGGGGTGACATTTAGCAACATGGAGGTCACTGGTGGCCTGGACAAGGAGTGATGGGTATAACAGAGAAGGGGAGAGTAGGGGACTGCACGCGTGAGCAGCTCAGATACGAAGTTTACCTCTGAAAATACTCATGAAAGTGGGTGGGGACAGATCCCCTTAGAGTAGAGCCTGACACAGAAATAGGTCTCAGGAGCACGGAGACAGCAGGACAAGGAAAGGAGCAGAGCATCAACCTGGCCCCAAAGGGAGCTCAGATTGAGCTGGGGTAACCTTTTGCATCAGCACCAGTCCCTTCTCTGGGCATGGCTGGACCCCTTCTGGTTCCTGTTGGGCCCCAGGCAACTTCCTGAGGACCAGCTGTGGTACATGGTGAAGGTGACCTAGGTGGGCGTCTACAGTGCTCACTGTGGAGTGGGTATCTACGGGCCAGTGTTGCTCCTGAGGGGACAGTCACTAGGCTTATGGGGGCTACCCTGTATCTCGGGCCCCCCGCTCTCTGTAGAGGCTCAGGCTGACTTTCAAGCTGCTTGTCTCTGCACAGCAAGGTTCTTGGGTCCCCTCAGGGCAAGCCGAGTAGCCACAGGCAACCTTGCAGTCTGGCATCTCAGGGCTGAGGTGCAGGTGGGCAGGTGGGCAGCTGGCCCAAAGTAGGCAGCCAGGCTGATGCCCTCCCCACCCTCTCAGCTGGCACCTGGAGGGAAGAAGCTGCACTTGGGTGGCAGAGCCCCAGGGAGGGGGTGGTGCCACCCTCCTGGCTGTGCCAGGTGCCACCCACGGCTGCTCACCACAAAGGGGCCCCCAAGGGCTTTCCCCTGTGCCACCCCCAGCCCCTCACCAGCGTTCCCAACCCTGCAGAGCCAGCACTGGCCTGGGTCCTGACAGCTGCAGCCCTGCTTGGTGGGTCCAGGCTCCTGGGCCTCTGGGATGGGAAGGTTGTGCCGTGCCTACAGGCTGGGGAACCTGCAAGCCTGGTGCTGGGCTCCCTGTCTGATCCTTGCCACAGCCTGGAGGGCAACTGAAATCACGATGCCCACTGGTGCATCCAACAGCAGTGTACCGAGCACCCACTGTATGCACAGGGGACCTGGACAAGGACCTGCTGGCTCGAACTCACACCACAAATGAGAAAACAGTTCCATAGCAGCCCGGAGCGGCATGCTCATGGTCACAGCACTGGATCCAAAACCAGGTCATGAAATGGGTACCCTACCCCCAGGGTTGTGAGAACAGGAGTTGCCACATGGCCCCCAAGACAGCAGGGACTTTACCCCCTGACATGTTTCAGTGACTGCTTGCTGTCCTAGAGGCGAGGCCCACCTCTTCCCCAGTCCAACTCCACTTTACACAGCCACCCACTGTCCCTCCAGCCGTCAAGTTCTTCCTGCCACAGCAGATCCACAGGCTCCCAGTTTCCTCTGTCTGGAATACCTACCTTTCAGGGAACAGGACAGTGTCTTAAGCCTTCCCTGAGGCCAGCCACAGTTCCCATCAAGCCCCAACAGTCACACCCAGGAGAGAGCACATTATCCCTGCTTTCCAGATAAGAATGGAGGCACAGACAGGAGCAACAGCCTAGGTCTGCAAAGCTATTAAGTGCCCCAGCGCACACCCTGCCCACTAGGCTGCATTCCCCCCCACACTCTGTCCACACTGGACAATGCCCCCTGACCTGACGGCCCAGATCCAGGACTCCAGTCTACACACACAGACTGGCTCCCATCAATGCTTACCCTGTCCCAGACTCCACGTTGCCCAACCCACGAGCCTTAGGGACAGGATGCTGTGGCAAAGGACTTGGTCAGTGGAGGCATGGCCAGGACATTGAGGTGGGCAGCCTGGCCTGGCCTTCAATTGGTGGGTGAGTGACCAGGCTGCTAGCCCTTTGACCCGATGGCCAGCCCGTGAGCCCGGAGGTGCCCTTACCTACTCGGAGCTCTTGCCCGAAGACCGTCTTCTCGCCAAGGGCGGAGCAGTTCCAGCGGCCGAAGCGGAACTGGTACTGGCACTCGTTGATGCCCATCTGCGCGCCCTCCCCTATCACAATGATGGCATCGGGCCGGCTCTGGCAGATGGCACGCTGCCGTGGGGCCAGGCCAGGAATCTTGTTGCAGATGATGTTGGCTCCCAGAGCCACCACGGACGACAGTGCTCTGTGAGGCAGGAGAGGACACAGGCGGTGAGACCCTGCAGGTGGCCCCTGCCCCACTTCTCCATCTCCTCTCCTGCTAAGTTTTACCCACCAGGGAACAACGCCCCTGCCTCGAGGGTCATTCCACGCCTGGGCCTTCCCGGCCTCAGAGCTCCACACAGCCCACAGAATGCAGGAGCCACACTCTCCAGACCTTTGACAGGCACTCAGAAACTTCAGGTCACAGATCGTACCACCTGGGATCCTACAGTGCAACAAGGGCCACAGCTGTCCCAGCGAGGCACACTCAGCTCCCAGACACTGGCCCTTCCCACCACCTGGTCCACCCCTGCTCCCTCTCCAACCTATGACTCCCTGGCCAGGCAAGCTGGGAGCTGAGCTCAGCAGGCACAGACTCCGCTCCGGCACATGTGTGACCGGGGGAGGGCACTCAGAGCCTCAGTTTCCACATGCACAACATGGGCATACAGAGCACCTGCCTGACCCGCCCCCTGCCCCGCCCCCAACCCCTCCAGCACCGCACAAGCACCAGGAGCGCTCGCGCAGTCCTGGGTGACTGGGTGCGCTCAGGAGGAACGGGAATGGATGTGAACTGAACACCTACTGGGTGCCACGCTTGGCAGGTGCTGCATATTCAAGGCCAGCCTCGTCCTCCTGGGCCCTGAGGCTGCCTGTGTAATTAATCTCCTGGCAGCTCTCAGGCTGGAAGCTCACTCTCCACTTAGGTATTGTCTGCCTGATTGTTTGTTTGTTTTTGTAATGAGGCAAAATTCACATAACATCAAATTAACCATTTTAAAGTATACAGCTCCTCGGTCTTTAGTGCATGCACAGTGTTGTGCAAACTCCACTTCTATCAAGTTCCAAGTTGCTTTCATCACCCCAAAAGGAAACTCCGTACCCATTAGCAGGCACTCCCAGTCCCTCCTCCCCCAGCCCTAACAGCCACTAATCTGATCTCCGTTCCCACGGAGTTGCTGTTCTGGGCATTCCATGGAATCTTACAATACACGTGGCCTTTTGCGCCAGGATCCTTTCAATTAGCAAAACATTTGCGAAGTTCATTCACTTTGTAGTCTGCATCAGTGCTACATTCCTTTTTAAGGCTAAATAATATTCCATTGCACAGCAGGTTTGTTGATCCACCACGATGGACACCTGGCTTGGATCTACCTCTTGCCTACTGTGAGCAATGCTGCAGTGAACACACACGTGCACACTGTTGTCGGAGTCCTTATGTTCAGCCTTTTGGACTCGCACTTAGGGTGGAATTGCTGGGCCCTATGGTCATTCTTAACTTTTCCACAGCTGTTGCACACAGAAAAAGAACATAGAATTAGAGGGAGGGGAAGGCTGGTTTCAAAACAGGGTCTGGCAACAGAACAACAGACCAGCCTACTTAGAGAGAAGCAAAGTGGGGGGTAGGAGAGACCATCCTGGATCCCCAAAGCTGGTGATCAGCCTCTGGGCCCCTACTGTGGGGAGGAACCTCCTCCTACCCACTGCCTGCTGGCCCTCTTTGTCAGACTTGAGTCAGTGCTTTTCCAGGGTGCTGAGCTCCCCAGGCAGCTGGACAGTCCCCGTGTGGCCCGAGCCCTCAGCACGTGCTGTAGCCAGCAGTGACACTCAATCCCCAGGGCCCGCCTGCCTGCCCCACCCGTTAATCTGGCAAAGACCCCCCTGGGTCTCCCACGGGCACAATGGGCAGACACACCCCAGGCTGGCTTTGCAGAAGGACATCTGGGTGGGTGGGGCTGGGAGCGGGCTGGAATCTGGGGAATTCAGCCCGAAGTAATTGTAGATCAGCCAGGCTGGGGAAATGAGTTGGATGGGAACCTGTCAGGCACCTGCCACCAATGTAGGTCAGAGCTACTTTGGGTACCAGACCTACAAGACACTCCCTAGGCTTGGGACATGAAGACCCCACTGCCTGCTGGGGGAGAGAGCTCAGACACAGGCCAGACTATGAGGACCCTAAAGGGATATTGCCATGGTCCCAGTCCTGCCCTCCTGCCTTCCACGCAGCTTTCCACCAACAACCCTACCAGCATCCAGATGTGACCAAGTCACTCTCCAGTTCATTGCCTGTCCATAGCTCCATTGCCTCTGCCTAGAATTAGATAGCTCTGGGGATCTGAACTCTGACAACAGGTCTCCTGACCCCCTTAGTTTCCACCTCCCACCTTTGGGTCCTCGCCTGGGATGTGCCTCTCCCAGCAAAAGCCCCACTGTGTTCCCACCTTTGCATCCTTGCACTGAGGAAGCCAGCAGCAGGCACCTGGACCTGTGAGAGTCCAGAACTCCTCCCTCAGACCCCTGGCTACTCTTGCCTCACCTAGCTGCCCTGCCAGACAGCAGGTGGATCCGAGGCCGGCCTGCACGGGGTCCTCTGAGCCTCTGTGGAATGGGTGGATGAGTAAGTGAGCAAGCCAATACCCAAGAATCACGTCTGAAACAGCTTCTAGACTCAAAACCCCAGTTTTTAAAAGGACTCAGAGATGTTTTCCCAAAGAAGATGCACAAATGGCAAACAGCACAGGCAGGTGCACCGTCATAGAAGTGCACCTGGGAACCACAGCAAGCAACCATGTCACACCCACTAGGATGGGGATGATTCAAATACGAAAAAGCTGGAAAATAACGACTGTTGATAGGACGGGAGGAACCGAGTCTTCCCACACTGCTGTGGGATGTGAGACGGGGCAGCCACAGTGGACAACATTTGGGCAGAATTAAAAGTCACATATTACCTGGTAATTCCACTTCCTGGTATAGCTCCAAAAGAATTGAAGACAGGTGTCTAAACAAAACCCTCTACACAACTGCTTACAGCAGTACTATTCACAATAGCCAATGGATGGAAATAACCCAATTGCCCATCTACGGATGACTGGATAAAAACAAAACATGGTATATCCATAGAATGGAATATTATTTGGCCATAAAAAGGAGTGAAGCATTCATTCATGTCACAATGTGGAGGAAGTTCAAAAACATGGTGCTCAGAGAAAGAAGCCAGACATAAAAGACCACATGTTGTCTGAGTCCATTTATAGGAAACATCTTAATGGGAAAATCCACAGACAGAGAGCGGATCTGTGGTTGCCAGGAGCTGGGGGAGGAGAGAGTAGGCACTGAGTACTTCATGTAGAATTCAACAACATGGTGAAAATACTAAATGGCACTGAGTTACACACTTTAAAGTGGTGAATTTTCTTTTGTGTGCATTTGAACTACAATTTTAAAAATTATTACAATACACAGAACTTCTACACCACCAGATGCAGGGTGCGACCCAGTGGAAGGGGAAGCAAACTGACCCCGACTGTGGGGTGCTTTGGTGACAATGTGCACCTCTCCCTCTACAGGCTGGATACTGGAGCTCAGAGAGGCCGAGGAGCTGCCTGAGGCTACCAGCCATGCTCAGAGCCCAGACTCTGCTTCCAGAACCCAGGTGGAGGCTGAACTTCCAGGAAACACACAGAACAGGTATCCTGGAAGAAGGACTGGAGTGGGGACTAGGCCTGCTTCTTTTGTTTGTTTGGGTTTTTTTTTTTTTTGAGACAGGGTCTTGTTATGTAACCCAAGCTGGCCTTGAATTCACCAGGCAGATCAGGCAGGCCTCAAACTCTCAATCCTCCTGTCTCTGCCTCCTGAGTGCTGTGATCACACCCGGCTGAAAATCCTTCAGGTTGTTCCTTCCTTCCATCACTCATTCATTCTGGGTTCAGGTTGTTCAGTGTTCCAGGTCTGGCTGAGGTCAGGGCTCTCCCCACACTGTGCCCCATCCATTCTGACCATGCTGCTCTCAGAGCAGGCTAGGCACCACCACACTTAAGCCTGGCCTATGCCATCCCTTCAACTTTCAGGGTTTTCATTAGAAAGCCGAATATAGTAAGCGGCACCTCGGGAGGCAGGCAGTGGGTAACACAGCTACATGCTGGGATGGTTGGCCGGGGGTGAGGCATGCCCCAGCACCCTCGGCAAGCCACCCTGCAGGCAGCCCAGCTTTCACCCACAGTAGGAAAACCCTCTTCCCGGCCCTTGGCTGCCTGCCCAAGCACCCGGGGCTTGGGGGCCAGGGAGGCTGAGTGGCCTGTGAACACGGAGCCTGGCGAGGGTGTTTGCAATTGTTGCTGACTTTTTCCATGGAAAGTTCTGCTCTGGGCTTATCCCTTTGCACCACTCTGGGGCCTCAGGACACAGGCAAGATGCCAGGAGGAGTGGGCTACACTGAGAGTCTGAAACTTTCCTTACCCTTGGCCAGAGATAGGCCCCTAAAAAAGAGTTCAGAGGAGAAGGGATTTGGCCCTGCCAACAGGGGCTATGGACAAGACCTCTGGTTTCAGACTAGAGGCCAGCAAAGGGCTGGTGGGGACATGGTCTCTGCAATGTCCTGGCACTGGGTTTGGACTGGGCACTGTGCCAAGAGGGGGCCACTCCTGGGTAACAGGAAGAACCCTCTACCTGCTAGAGCATCCCTAAGGAAACAGGCTTCCTCAAGGATGAGGGACTTGGAGCAGGGATAAGAGACACATGAGGACACTCCAGCCCCTTCTGGCACCGCCCGGCAACAGATGGAGGCAGAAATGCAAGAGTGTGAGGTTTTACTGCAGGACTGGCCAGGTGCCAGGCCACCCACCCACAGTCCTCTGGGGCAGCAGTTAAGACAGAGTTCTGATGCTGGTGTGTTCCGTAGGACGCCTGAACTCTCCTCTTTCTGGCTGTGAGGTCTCGGTTCCATTTCTTTCTTTTTTTGGTGGTACTGGGGTTTGAACTCAGGGCCTCACGTTTGCCAGGCAGGTGTGCTATCATTTGAGCCACTACACCAGTCCTGTTTTGTGTTGAGTATTTTTGAGATAGGCTTTCATAAACCATTTGCCCAGGGTGGCTTTGAACCACCTGATCTCTGCCTCCTGAGTAGGTAGGATAAGAGGCGTAAGCCACCAGCACCAGGCTTGCTTTAGTTATTTTTCAGGTAGGGTTTCATGGGTTTTTTTT